ATTAGTTTGCGCCCATCAAAAATAAATAGCTTATATACAAAAATCTGGACGGGTTATGTGAACGTTTGCAAATGTTCAAAATTTTTTTTTGGCCCCCCCCCCCCCCCCCCCCCGATCTATCGATCTGCGGGTGACCGGAGAAAGAAAATATCAAATTAATTTTGCAAAAAAAGCGATAGATTTTTTTTCTGAGCTATATGAAGAAAAAAGAGAATTTTACGAAATATCTTCTGCATATTTCAGGTGAATGATTCCACATGATACCACACACCACGATCTATCTCTTAATCTTACCATTATGGAATCCATTCGAAGAGGTTGTAAAAATCATTTTGATGATATACCCTCTGTATTTTAATAAATCAGATTCGCAAAGATCAAAGATATTCAATTATTATTGCTGAACACTCGAAAGTATACATGGTAATTATAATCTATATAAGTTCATAAACATCATATCAAAATTTTTCAGCGATAACTGGCCCGAAGGAAAAAATATTTACTGAAATACCATATTTATATTTCACTGCTCAGCAAGAATTTTCCCAATATTGTACTGCATATTTCAGTAGCAAAATTGTCTGGAGGAGTAGAAAAAATCCACAGATCATCGCAATACACAAAAATTTTATTGGTTAATTAATTTGCTGATCCCAAGTTTCAAAAATTAGCCTACATCTTCCTTTAGTCGAACGATTAGCGGAATATAGCATATAGGGATATAACATTACTTGGCTAAGAATTATATGCATTTTTATTTGTAAAACATTAAAATAAAAAAAGTTCGAGAACAAAGCCTGTATTTCTATGCTACTAACTTTTTACGTTTATTTTATTTAATTTTCATTGCAATATAACTGCTAATGCTTCATATTCTACTTACGAACTATTCTTTTTATTAAACCCATTATTATCATCTACCCCTTGATCGCATTATCTAGATTATATTTCTATGCTGATATATATGTTTATTCCTACTTTCAGCTAGTTAGATCGGACTGCTCAGATCTGATTCCTCTAGATTTCACCTTCTTATTGCAGGATTTTTTCTTCATATCGCCAGAGCATGGGATTAAGCCTAGAAGATACTAAAAATTTATCGCAAAATTCGCAAGAGTCATCAATCGTTACTGAAACAGTACAGGTACGACAACCCCTGGTTATTCATCAAATCTGGAATATCACAAACCAAAAGGTTGACCTTCGAAACGGTATAAGTCATCAGTAGAAGAACGAAAAAATAATAATACCCAACCCAAAAAACTTGTGGAGGATGTTCAAAATATAAAGCTGAATTATCTAACAAAGAAAAAGAACCATAATGATAGCGATTAGAAAGTAATGGTTAAATAGAAATATTATTAGTCAGGTTATTAGTCATTAGAATAAAATTTAATTAAATTTAAAAGCAAATATTAGTCATTTTACGGAGTTGAAAAAAAAACGAAATAAAATTTTCGTTTGCTGCGCAATTTTAAGATACGTAATCAAATATAAAAAGTCATGTGATCATTAAATCACGTGACACTGGTAGTAAATAACTCAGCTTTATTATTTAGTAATGATTATAATTATCTCATTATTGTTAAATATTCTGAGAACTTGGTGTATAAAACTTTCCATTTGTCACATTTGAAAAAATAATAAAAGAAAAATGATTTATTTATTTCCTAATTGGATAAACATAACATTAATTAGAATGTTTATGATGAAAGGTTCATTCAATATTAAATTAAAATAAGAACTAGGTTTCAACATACTACTATTAAATGGTACGTTCCAGCAATGATGTACATTTTCTATGTCCCAAGCCTGTCACACAATATGTCCCCCAATGTATCAACATAGAGCCATGCGAATATAGCACTATTTTCTTCCATTTCAACACCAAATAATAAAATTTCGCCATATTCTTCTTGATCACAATTATAGTCGTCACTAAAACTAGTTGATATTGTTCTCTGTGTCCAATCCAACATCATATATTGCCTTGATATCTAAATTTTCTTCATTTTTTGTTATCTTTCGATTTTTGTTTATTTGATAATATATATATTTTTTTAGTTCAATGACAATAATACCATCAAATCTTTGCACTTAAAAATTATATATCGTTCTCTCGAATAAAAAACAAAAATTTGAATGTCAACATTGCATGATTCAAGAATTCTTGGAGCGTACTAAAAATAACTCAATAACTATATCAGAAAAGGTAAAATCTGATTATCAAATTAAATAAATCGTGAATTTACCTGCGAATCCTTAGGAGGACGTGACGTGATTCATGTTATTAATCTATTATTTCAAAGAATCCATTTGTATTTATGAATAAATTTGAAGTTATCAAAAAAAAAAAATAATTTGGTCATCAAAGTATATTTATAATCCATTTGATCATGAAAAAATATCTACCCATTCAGAAAAAATCATTTTCATCATTTATTTGTTAAATATATTTAATTAAAAAAATTTCTAAGAAATATTATTCACTTAATTCATTTGCCACTTCTTTTAGCTTATCATGCATTGGTGTGCCTTCAAATGAATTTTTTGTCCTTCCTATCAAACTTTTCAATAAAATCTTTGCTTGATATTTCCAATCTTTACAAACGATTTTTTCGATTTCTACACTATCATCATTAGAATCTAATTTACGTAAAACTTTCTTTTCACCAAAATTTTGATACGCTTCTACAACATCTAATGCAGCATTTGCAACTTTGTCAAATACATCGTACGAATTCCCTAAATTTGGATCACGTAAAACGCTTCGATATGCTCTCAAATACGCTTCAAGAGCTTCGTCGTATTCCTTCTTCCAAAACCAAAATTTAGCACAGAGACGCCATATATGTTGATTTGAGGTGATTCGCGAAGTAATAGTTTCAGTCAATAATTTTTCAAGTCTTGGAGCCAATTGTGAGGCATTATTTTGATGAGCATCTTGAATACCTTGTGTAACAGCATCTACTAAAAGTTCAAGAACTTGTAAATCAACGCAAGAATCCTTTTCCTTTTCCCACTTTAAATCAACAATACGTTTCATAGCCCTTATAGCTTCAGCAAATTCACCAATATCAATAGCTGTATACAGATAATTTGTCCATATTTTCCAACTATCATAATTTAATCTCAACCCCTGTTGTAATGAATTATAAGCATCGGGCTTACGCTTTTGTTTCAGAAATACTGATGCCAAATTATTCCAAGCTTCAGAATTTTCGGGATCAATAGCTATAGTTCGTGAAAAAGCTTGTATAGCGGTTTCCCATTCCTTCATATGCATTGCAGCACATCCCTGCACAAACCAAGAATTTTCAAAAAGCGGATTGATCTGGAGAGCATTTGCGTAACACTCAATAGATTTTTGATAATCTTCACGCTTATACCAATAACCGCCAAGAGATCGCATCGCACGAGCGAATCGATTGCCGGAAATTTCCCATGCATGTTCCCAATGTTTCGGATTCTTTTCGACATCACCCAAAAGACAATAAAGTTTTGGTGAATTTGGTGTTATCTTGAGTTGTTCATGTATGATCTTTGTAGCTTCCACTCCTTTTTCGAGCATAATATGACAGTTAATTACATCTTCCCACATTTCTAAGCGTTCAAATATCTGCAAAGCCGAACGAACAACACCTATGGACAAATATTGCACAGCAAGTTCCTTTTCCATATCCCATTTTGATGGCAATAAAATTTGATAAAAATATGCCATTCGTTCTTTTGCACTAGAAAGTTCAAGAGGAAATTGATCCACTAATGCTTGAAGTTGAAGAGCAGAACGTTCAACCATTCGACTCTTTTCTTTTTCATGACGTGATCTTAGTAATAATGCCATAGTGTATACCATCCAATTGTTTGGATTTTCTAAAACACGAGCCACATAAGGTACCATTAGTTCTGTGGTGATACCATGAGAAGGGTTAGTATTCTTTACATCTAAACAAAAGGCTAGCAAAAGACATTGGTCAATAATTTTAAGGTTCTTTTGGTTTTGAAGATCAAAATCTGTTACATCATCATTTTGATTAGTAAATTCGATTTTTTCTAGTAACGTATCATCATTTAACATTAAGTTATCTGGAAGCTTTTTCCCAGAATCATTTTCATTCAGGAATTCTTCTTTAGATTTGGCAACGACTAATAATTGTGATACATCAGACGTTTGAAATTTTGTCCTTTTTCCTAATGCACCAGTTACTTTCCATTGAAGTTGGCTCGATTTTTGTGCATTTAAAAAATGTTGAAATGCTAAAGAATCTTGGCCATAATAATGATATACAAGACCGAATTCTATATGATATCTAGCATGGATGTCTGAATTCGTTGAAATAATTTTACTCTCAAGATTTTTCAGATATTGCAACATTAAGTCGTGCAAAGAACCTGCAACATTATCAAGAATACGCTGTTGAAGAAACAAAACTCTCTGTGCCCACCATAAAGAAGTTTTTAAATCAGTAAAAATTTGTTCGTTTTCTACTAGAATAATTCTTGAAATTAAAAGATAAAAGGCTCGAGGTGCTAAATGATAAGCTTCTTCACCATCTGTAGATAACGAATTTAGAGCTTTCTTGTTTAATTCATAATCATTATATTTGTCTCTTATAATTGTTGGTAAGATATCTCGTGGTTCAAGATCTAAATTCGGTCCAGTCCAGGAAGTTTGTATAAAAGCATTCAAGCAAGCAACTGCAACACAGAGCAAATTAAGTTGTTTAAGTAATTGATTTTTTTGTGATTCTAATTCGTGTAAATTTGATGAAATATATTTCTTGATCCTATCAGAAATATATACATTAACGTCTAAGTGTTCTGTAAATTTTTTGACAAGATCATCCTCTGCCGATAATCCCGTTCCTAAGATTTGTTTTGTTATATCACAAGTCAAACTTTCCCTATAATGACCATCTACAATTTTAGATATTAAAATTTCTGTTGAATTTGGTGAACTTTCTTGTGTAGGATTTCCTAATATCAATGACCATTCTAATGTTTCAAAATGATTCACAGTAACGTTTGAAGTAGTCATTGGAAAATTTCAAAAAAAAAAATTCGTTTTGCGATCAGCATTACATGCACATTTATATATGAAAAAATTTAATATCACGTGATCGTAACTCATTTGTATATTTATATAAAACTTAGATATAGGGTCTTTGCAATAGAAAGGGGGAAAACTGCCGGGAAAAATTAATTTTACTTTTATATGCCAAATTTGATTTTTAGGCTGAAATATGTTCAAATTTAGCATTAACTCATTTTTGATTTTTCCGGCAGTTTCCCCCCTTTTTATTGCAAAGGTCCCATATATACTTTAAAAAATTTAATTTGTATAAGAGGTCAAATAAGAACCTAAACCACCATCCTAGGTTAAGGATGTTCTTATTATAATCTATATTATCATATTTTTTCTTTTAAACTTAAAATATAAAATAATTTCTATGTATATTATTTATTTATCTAGATTATTTTATATTAGTTATCATAAATAATATAAATTTTATAATTTAATTATTAAAATATTCTATATAATATTAAAATAATTTTTTTAATAAAAATTTGATTCTATTTTATTAATAAATTTATATATGATCTATTATACATATATTAAATTATTTTTAAATTATTTTTTTTTATAATAAATAAATTATATTAAGTATTATATATAATAATAATAATAATAAAATTATTTAAGTAACATTTAGATTATTTAGCAGGTAAATTTACCTATAAACTTAAAAAAATATATTGATTTCTTAATATTAGAGATATACTATTAAAATTCATATTCAAATCATATGATTTATTATGTTTTATAATCAAATTTAATAGAATACAACTTATATAATATAAATATTAATTTTGGTCATATAAAAAATTATAGTTTAATATATATTTTAATAAAATTTAAAGCTTATTAAAAAGTAATTTATATTTGTCTAATTTAAATATAATAAATTTTTTAAAAATATTTTAAAATTTATAAGCTTATATAGGATCTTTGCAATAGAAAAGGGGGAAACTGCTGGGAAAAATTAATTTTACTTTATATACCAAATATGATTTTTATGCTGAAATATGTTCAAATTTAGCATTAACTCACTTTTGATTTTTCCGGCTGTTTCCCCCCTTTCTATTGCAAAGGCCCCATATAATATATGAATTATTTTATTAAAATAAATAATATGATAAATTATAAAAATTGTAATAAAATGTTTTTATATGATAAATTTTAAAATATCATATTATAATTAATATAGTTAATAAAATTATCAATATAAAATATTTTATAATATAATATATATTTATAAAATTAATTTAAGAACATTTTAAATTCAAGTAAATTCAAAATTCAAATTTTTTTATTATTATATCTAAAGATGAACATCATAATTAAGAAGTTGCAACTCAGTAAGTTGCAACTTGAGTTGCAACTTGGTTACAACTCCTTGTAAATTTATTTTAATATAAAAATTCATAAATAGTTGCAACTCAAAATGTTGCAACTTAAGTTGCAACTTATTAAAAATTTTAAAAATAATTATAGAAACCATCTTTATTCAAATCATTAAAGAATATATACTATAAATAAGATAAAATTATAATCTTGATATTTGAATTATATCTAAAATTAAATTGAATTTTATAAATTTGTCTTAATACTAAAATTTTATAATTACTTATAATAAAATTATAGTAAAATGTCAAAATGAAAATATTATAGTAAATTTTGAAACTAGAGAAATTATAATGAAACTATATTAAACACTTATTAAATTTCACTATTAATCATAGAATTTTGAAGAGGTTTAGGCAAGCATCTTTAGTAATAATGCATAAATGCATGATTTATTAATTTTAATAGCATTATATGATAAAAAAAATTTTAAAAGAAACATATAGGAGGTTTGCTAGGAAAATGGGGCTCTGAGACTAAAAAATTTCTTTGAATAAATTAAAAAATAAAATA